GTGTGTGGGTGCCACTGGCAGGGCCACCCTGGAGTCACAGTGCACTCACACAGAGAGGGGGTCTGTGCTTGTGCTGAGGAAGGAACAATAGGGGAGGCAGGAGAGACGGGGAGGAGAGGAGGAAGGTGTCTTCTGAGAGTCCGAGGGCGGCTGAAACAGTGTCCCACACACCGTGTTTCTGAAAGCCACAGAAACTTCTGGTCCTAGGAATCTCGCATCAAAAGGTTGGCTGAACCCTGTTTGCTCTGAAGGCTCAGAGGAGGGTCCTTGCTGGCTGGTTCCCAGTTTCTCATGGCATCTGGCAGCCCTTGGAAGTCCTTAGCTGGAGGCTGCTAGGATCGGATCTCTTGTCTTCCTCCTCTGACAAGGAAAACCAGGCAGCCCCCCACCACACTGAGCTTGGACACCCCTCAGCTGAACACTCCAGTCCATCGCTCACAACCCCTTCCCTCCCCCCAACAGCAGACATGACTCCCCGACTCTCCCCCATATGGAACCCCTCCCCCTTTCTTCAGGGCTCCAATGACAGGGTCCTCACTCTCATCTGAGATCTCACCTTTAACAATCGTGTTCCCAGCACAGTCCCTCCAAGGCCAACTCCACCTCTGCTCCCTTGTGCCCTTGAGTCCCCCAGTGCCTGTGGGTCCCCAACCCCACAGCCAGTCCACAGGGTGGGTGTTGTTTACAGCAGCGCCCACTTCCTGGAACCAATACCAAGCCACTGAAGGAAAAGCTCCTTGACACACATTTTGTTATGTTTTCAGTCGAAGTTAAATGAGGGGCATTCCGTGCACCAGAGAGTGGCGGGTCCATTTCTGGTCCTTCAGTGTGCGGGAGGTGACTGATAGGTGTTTCTCTCTCACCTTTGTCTGTCTCTGTCTCTCTCTTTCTCTCCCTGCCCTTTCCTCTTTCTGTAAAATCAAAAGAAGGTCCTTGGGTGGGAATCATAAACGGGGTAATGGAGGGAGTTAGAGGGGGGGGGGAGTGCGTGGATAGGGGCTCGCTTGGCCGGGGGTGCGGGGGGTTTTGTTGTTTTTTTTTCAGGCTTATCCCAGCCCCCAACAATAAACAATGGTGCGTACATGGACCTTGTCTCTAGACAGGAACAGGAAACAAGTTCGTGTATAAAAGGCACCGACATGAGCTCGAGTGACAACCTGCATGCAGCCTGTTTTACCATCAGTCTCCCACCACCGAGTCCCCTGGTCACGTCCAACAGAGCTAATGACCCGCAATTTACCAGCTTTATTAAATTCTAGTTGACGTAAAATAAAACTCATTACTTCTTTAGTAGATTTAATCATTGGTTTTGCAAATATTTTTCTAACAAGTTTGGGTATTTCCCGTTACCTTGCATATGTGTTCTCATGTCACACTGCGTGTTCAGTTTATTTTATATTATATTTTATTTTATTTTTTACCTTTTGATCCCCTGCAAGCATTTTTATCACCTCTTACCTCTGGGCACCACCCATCCATTCTCTGGATCTTTGAGCTTGGATTTTTTGTTCGTTTGTTTCTCTTAGATCCCACATATGAGATCATACAATATCCCCATTTCTCGGTCTGACTTAATTCACTTCACAAATGCCCTTGAGCTCCGTCTATGTCATTGTAAATGGAAATATTGGGAGTATTTTCTGGCTGAACACTATTGCACACTCATTGCCATATCCTTATCTATTCCTCCGTATATGGAAGCTTTGGTTCCTTCCATTTCTTGGCTATTGTAAGTCATGCTGCAGGGGTTTTTGTTTTCTGTAGCTACATATCCAGGAGTGCAAATGCTGGATCATATGGTAGTTCCATCTTTAATTTTTAAATTATCCTCTAAGGACATTTGTGTTTATTGTTTTTACGGAACGAAGAAGGGAAACATTAAGAAAAGAGAGAAGCATTGATCGAACCCTGATGGCATGTACCCCGACTATGGGTGGAACCCACAATCCTCAGCTATGAGAGGCTGCTCCATCCAACCAAGCGATGCTGACCAGTCCAGCTATTTTTAACTTTTGAGGAACTCTGTGTACAGTAACCGTACCAGCTTGCATTCCCACTACCAGTGCGTAACGGTTCTCTTTTCTCCACGTTCTACCAACACTCATTATTTTTGTCTTTTTGATAACACCCACTTTAACGGTTGTACACTGATATCTCATTGTGGTATTGATTTGCATTTTCCTGATGTTTAGTGCTGTTCAGCATCTTTTTTGGACCTCTTGGTCATCCGTATGTCATTAAAAAAATAAGTCTATTCAGAACTTCTGCCCATTTATTCAAGTTGAATTGTTGGTTTCTTTTGCAACTGAGTTGTATGAATTTTTTATGAAGTTTGGACATCAGTCTCTTATCAGCTCTGTGATTTGCAAATCTGTTCTCCCATTCAGACGGTGGCCTTTTCATTTTGTTGATGGTTCTTTTGCTTTCTTTCATTTGCATGAAATATCTTCTTCTCCCCCCCACTTTCTGTCTCTGTGTGCCTTCTGTCCTGAGGTGGGTCTCTTGTAGACAGAGTGTATATGGGTCTTGTTTTCTTGTCCATTCAGCTGCCCCATGACTTTAGCCTGGTGTACTTAATCCATTTACTTTTATATTGTTCATAGATGAGTACATGTTTCTCACCATCTGACTATTTCTAAGAGTTTCTCTTTTCCATTGTTTGTTCTCAAATAAGTCCCTTGAGATTTTTTCTAACTGTGGTTTGGTGGTGATGAACACCTTTAGCTTTTTCTTGTCTGAGAAGATCTTAATTACTCCTTCAATTTATGTATTTATTTACCCATTTATTTAAATCTTCACTCAAGGTTATGTTTTCATTGATGTTTTTTAGAGAGAGAAAGGAAAAGAGAAGGCTAGACAGAGATAAATATCCATGTGAGAGAAACATCAATTTATTGCCCTCGTGATTAGGAATAGAACCTGCAATCTGGGTATGTGCCCCGACCAGGAACTGAACCTGCCAACTTTTGGTGTCCCAGAAAATGCTGCAAGGAACGGAGGGGCAACAGCCAGAGCTCTCCTCCAATCTGAAATAAGAGTGTTTCTGTCAGAGCCCTCCTACATGAGTCAGTGTAGACAGCTCCTCCCCTCACTTCCTCTCTCCTTATCCTTGTCCTCCCTGTCCTCACTCAGCTCAGACTTCGAAGTCAGAGACTGGAGCAGGACACAGATTTTGCAGGTAAAGGAATGTGGGTGATCGTGTATGTGTAGGGGGAGTGGCAGGGAAATGTGGGATGTGGAGCATTGGTGTCCCCTCCCCTGGGATCCACCTTAAATCTCCCCTCAAACTTGCTCTCAGCATGGATTTCTCTTTGCTTCCTGTCTCCTGTCTCTGCTGCCTGACTTTGGGTGTGATCTGCTGTGAAGGCTGAGCCCTGCAAATTAGCCACTTGTACAGGTTTGCTGCTCAGAGTGTATTTGTACAAATAAATGATTCACTTCACTACCTAACAGCTTTCCAGGACAGAGGTGGGTGAGCGGGCAGAGTCGGCTCTGAGGGTAGCTGATGGGTGCAAAGCGCTGGGAGGTGTTGGAAGCAGGGCTCCCACACCCAGGACCAACAGTGACTTTGTGGCCAAAGATGATTTACAAAATTCTGGGATTTCTCTTCTCAAGTTACGAGAAGGGTTTTCCTGCTCCCTATTCTTAAGGCCTGAGGACGTAAGTCTTCTTTCCAAAGGAGCATTTGTCTTTCTGTGTTTCGAATGTGTATTTGACGGCTCCTATCAGAGGAGCCTGCCCTTCCCAACTGGGGTTTTCAGCCTGTCCTGGGCAAAGTCTGATCCACTCCCTGTTCTTGAAACGGCTCTCCCCACTGCCAATCATGTGTAGGCAGCAAGAAGATGAAATATTCACAGTGTAACACCATGCTTCTGTGACAGTGAGCATTGATGAATGAGGAAGGACAACCTTTCTCTCAGATGTAGGCTGGACATCAAGATCAAAGAAGCAACAATCAGAGAGAATTTTGATCAATTTGTTTATTTAACAATATGTGTTGTGAAGAACTCTGTGTCCAGTAATGTGCTTGTCCCAGGTCGTAAGGGAATACAAGCCTGGACGCTCCCCTGGAGGGCCCATCGTCACTAAGCTTACAACTGACCAGGGCACAGTAGAGAGAGCAGATGCAGAACTCCTGGTGGAGATCTGTGCTCCCTGGGGGCCCCTGGGAGCGCTGGGAGAGCCAATGGTGAGGGGGCCTCAGTGCAGCTCTACTGTGTGTGGTGACGGTATTTGGGGGAGAGGCGTTGGAGAAGAATAATCAGGTTTTAGGTTAAAAACAGTCTGATTGTAGAGGAGAAGCAGGACTGAGGATGAGAGGATCAGTTAGGGGCTGTGACAGGGAGACCAAGCCTAGTGGCCTGGCTTCATCTGTGGTGGGAGCAGGGACAATTCTGCACGTTTTGGAGGTCAAGTCCGTGGGACAGATGAGCAAAAGTGAGGAGAGATGAGTTGTAGGTGAGTTGTAGACCCTACCACTTCTCAGGATCCCTGGGCTGAAAGCTGAGGCCATCCACTGAACAGAGAGTGATTGAGGGGGGGATGGGGCAGGGGGAGGTGGTGAGAAATGGGATGATCCTGTGACCTGAAGGCAGGACTGGCTGGAGAGCAGGGAGGTCAAGGGTTTCCTGTGGCCAGTTCGATGTGAGATGCCCATGAACTTGCCCAGTGGAGAGGCTGAGTGGGATATGAAAGTTCAGGGCTCTGGGGAGGGTCTAAGCAACAGATAAAGTTCCAATGATGGTCAGAACAACAAGTTACTCAGGGGAGGTGGGAAGGGCCCCCAGAAGCCCAGCTGAGGAAGCACCTGAAGCCTGTGTGTTTGTGCAGAGAAAGAGCAGGAAGCAAAGAGGAGACTGACCAGGGGAGTGGAGCAGAAGTGCTGGGAAGGAGGAGGAATCAAGTAGCCAGTCCAGGGGAAGAGGGGCTGCTGGCTGCAGGAGGTGTGGTTTGCAGTTACTCTCCATTTCCCTGAAATGAGTTGTGTTTCTCACCCACAGGAACTCACATAACGATGGCAATTGCATTGCACAGCTCGAGTTTCAGTTTCAGTGAAACCGGCATCAGCCAAGGTGAGAAAGGGCTTGGGCTCCCCAGGCCAGGCTGATGGAGGGGACCTGGTGGGGGCTCTCCTGTCCTGTCTGCCAGTCCCCCACTGAGCAAGACCCAAATACCCCCAATCCCATTTCTCATTTTGTCTTCATCGACTCTGCTCTTTCTTTCCCCTTGACCCTCCTCCCAGGACCCGCCTGATGTGGCATCACTGCTCAGAGGAAAAGAAGTTACAGTGTCCTGAGTGATCCAGGCTTGATGAGGGTTCTTGTCTCCTACTTCATAACATGTGCACACATCAGGAGGACACACTCTAGCCTTTCTGTGTGTTTCTCTGCCCTTCTCTTTAGCCCCAGAAAGGTGGGAAGTAGGAACATGAGAGTAAAGGAGATTTTAATAAAGTCTCTATGGTCCCTGCTCCAGGTGGCCTCACTACAACCAACAAATTCCCAGACTGGCTCACTCCATTTCTCACACAAACCCCCTTTGAGTCCCTTGTCTATAGAAAGTAACTGCATCAGTTGATTTCATGGTTGTTTGCAAACCACATCACAATGTAGTGGCCTAGAAACATCATTCCTTTCATTGGCACTTCTTATGTCTGGGCCAGCTGTGCCCCCGCAGCCAGACTCACTCATGCACCTGGTGGTAAGTGGTAGTTCGGTGCATAACTGGATAGTTTTTCTTTTTCTTAGATGAAATGTATTGGGGTGAGAGTGGTTAATAACACTGTATAAGGTTCAGGTGTACAATCCTATCATCCCTTATCCGTGTACTGCACTGTGGGCTCACCACCCAAAGCCTCGTCCCCTGTCATCACCACACATTTGACCCCTTTACCCTTTCACCCTCCCCCCACCTCCCTTTCCTTCTGGTCACCACCACACTGCTGTCTGTGTCCTTGAGTTTGTTTTCTGATTTCACTGTGGCTTTCTATTTTACATCCCACATGTGAGTGGAATCTTATGCTTCTTGTCCTTTTTTCATGTGACTTATAGTGCTTAGCATGATGCTCTCAAGATCCAGTAACTGGATAGTTTGGGATTGGATAGCCTCATAGCTGTGTCTGGTAGTCAGCAGGCTCTCAGGCAGGCCAGGGTGACAGGGATAGGTGGGCCTTGTCCCTCATCACCCAGCAGGCGAGTCCAGCCTCTTCCCCAGGCAGCTGCAGGTCTCTGTGGGGCAGGAGGAGACAGCCAGCTCCAGGCATCTGCACATTTAGGACCCACGCTGGCATCACACTCCTAGTGCCCTCATGTCCACAAAAGTCAATCGGCCCACCTGGATTCAAGGGGTGGGAAATGACTCAGTCTTTATGGGCAGGGCTGCAGAGCCACATCCCAAAGAGGCACATGTCCCAATGGGAACAGTCCATGTCCACAGCAGCACTCTGTCACATAGATCGCCATGTGCCCTCAGCATTGGCAGACTGCTGCAGGGTGGAGCTGGCCTGTGCTGGCCTTCTGTTTCACCTCCCAGGACTTTTCTACTCTCTGTGTGGTGACAGCTGATGCCCTCAGGGTGTCCCTAGGTGGAGTCTTCCACTGTGATGCTAATGTACAGTGCTCTGAACTCCCATCCACATTCCCCTTGTTGGTAGCCATCCTGTGTCCTGTGTTCTCAGCTTCTGGAAACTTACACTTTCACCCTGGTATGCTGGTTATCTTATCAAATGTGGGAAACTCACCCACAGGGGAGGTTTGGCTGCTCCCTGGATTAGCAACAGCTTCCCCACAGAATGTGTGGAAGATGGGGAATCACTACTGATTTGTGGAAGCCAGAGATGGGGGTTCTGCGAAATCTCCCCTCTGTTTGATGGATATTTTGAAAGAGCATCCCAATTACAGAACAGACAGAAGGGGCCATGTTGGAAACATGGAGGACAGTTAGGGGACAGATGTGGCATGGATGGCAATGTAGGTTGGGCTGGTATGATTGTCTTCTACGTGGAGAGAAGTGGTCAGATTGTGGATGGAGGCAAGAGAACGTGATGGTGGGTTGGATCTGAAAAGCAAAGGGAAGAGAGAAATTAAGAAAGATTCCTAGACTTTTGGTCTGAGGGCCTGGGTTACAGTGAGGATGTCTCTGAAAGGGAAATTTGGTCATTACTTGGGTCTGTAATGTCATCGGTGTGACCCTGTGGGCATGGACTCTGAGCAGAGATGATGGCTGTGTGTGATGCAGGGTTGTCCCTCAGGCCACTGTCTCACTCAAGGGCCGTGCTGGAGGGTCTTCTTTGTCAGAGAGACAGGTGCTCAGGTGTGGTTGTCCCTTGTCTTGCCTGGTCCCGGGCTGTGCTCACCAAATCTTGAACCGTTCCTCCATAAGGCACATTAAAGAGAAACAGAGATTTACTAAAGGGAACTGGGGAAAGAGCTACACAGATGATTTGGTGTTAAACTGAGGGATAGTTACTTTGCAAACAGCCTGCAGTTGGTAGGCTATGGTGCTCTGTCTTTAACCTGCAACTTTCCTAAGAAGAACACAGGCCTAAGCAAAGGAGACTAAGAAAGTATAATTCTACTGATGCTAATTTGTGTGAGATTATTATCATTATCATTATTATTACTATTATTATTAATGTATCAAGGGATTTTATAGTAACTCCAGAAAACCATCAACACTTTCTGGCTATAAGTCTTCAACATATAATTTAAAATTAGAAAACTTTGTTAGATTTTTAAACAAAGTTGAAACTGTAAAGTGTTTTGTGCTTCTGTGGGTTACAGTCCCTGATGGGGATGGCTGCACATGTGACATATAAAGGGACAATCCTTCTTTCTACCCAGGTGCCCTGCTCACCCTGTATGGCGGCAGGGCCTGAATCACCCCCTCCATGGTTTCTTCATGGGAAAAAGAAAACTTCCCTTATGACTATGACATGGGGGTAAGGGGCTCTTCCACTACGATGTCCCGCAGTCAGCTTTTGTGTCACTTTCTGCCTTGGCTTGGGAGACACAGTTCCTACAATGGCTCAGAGCTCTCACTTACACACTTGGGTGCCCTCCTTTGTGGACCCTAAGCTGTCAAGATCAGAGTGAGCAGCCCATGGGACTCTGGAGAGGTTCCCGAGGTTCTCTGAGTCCTGTAGCAGGAACACGGGGCCCAGGGGCTTCCTCAGAGCTCCTGTGGTGCAGGGGTGGCTCATGGGACAGGACAAGATCAGGCAACAGAGACGGGCACCGGCAGGTGCGGGCCTGCAGGGGAAATGCTGGAGGTCAATCCTAACACTGTGGCTTTGTTTCCTGATGTCCCAGGGCTTGGAAACCAAGACCCCAGAGAGTCACAACTGAGACTAGTCTTAGTGGGTAAGACTGGAGCCGGAAAAAGTGCCACAGGGAACAGCATCCTTGGGAAGAAAGCGTTTCATTCCAGCATCGCAGCAAAATCCGTCACCAAGGTCTGTGAGAAAGGGACCTGCACGTGGAGTGGGAGAGAAATTGTGGTGGTGGACACGCCTGGTTTTTTCGACACCGAGGTGCCAGATGCTGACACTCAAAAGGAGATTGCTCGTTGCATCCTCCTGACGTCCCCGGGGCCTCATGCACTGCTCCTGGTGGTCCGACTGGGCCAGTACACAAAGGAAGAGCAAGAGGCCGTGCAGAAGGGGCTGAAGATGTTTGGTCCCACAGCTAGGAGATACACGATTCTCTTATTTACCCGGAAGGATGACTTGGATGGTGTGGAGTTCTGTGATCACATCAAGGAAGCCCCACCATTCATTCAGGATCTGATGAAGGAGTTCAAGGATCGCCACTGTTTGTTCAATAATAAGGCAACAGGTGCAGAACAGGAGGCCCAGAGGGCACAGCTGCTGGACCTGGTCCAGCGCATGGTGATGGAGAACGAGGGGGTATTCTACACTAACGAGATGTACCAAAGGGCGGAGGAGGAGATTCAGAAACAGATCCGAGCAATAGAAGTGCTCTCCAGAGCTGAGCTGGAGAGAGAGAAGAAGCAGATAAGAGAGGAGTATGAGGAGAAAATCAGAAACCTGGGGGATAGCCTGGAGCGGGAAAGGAGAAAGGCAGAAATGGAGAGGGCGTTGGCAGAAAGGGAAAAGCAGTGTGTTTCCAGGCAGCAAAACGCTAGGCATGAAATTGAGCGTCAGAATAAGATTCTTGAGACCATCATAGCAGTTGTCAACATTATTGGCCTTGCTCTTCAATGCGTGTTCAAAGCCCTTGACAAGAAATGAAAATCTGTCTATATTTCCTGCATATTTTCTGGTGCCCTTTTACTCTTAGAAATCATTCCCCAAAGTCAGAGCCATGTGCTTCTGTCCCTCATGCTCTCAGCAACGGGGAGGGAGGGAACGTTCACTGTTGGATATTGGTGGCCTATTGATGGATTTTACAGGGGAGGGACACATGCCCAACCTGTAAAACTCCAAAGCAAAATATACAGATGCACCCTGTGACCTGATCTCTTTCTCAGACACAGAGAAAGGAATGCAGGTGACCAAAAGTCGGTGGCCCCAAGCTTGCTCTATTTGTCCCTGGTAACTGTTTCTCCTCCAGATTTTTTCTAAATTTGCAGATAATATCCATCTGTGGCTCTTCTCCTAATTTTTGTCTTTAGAGCCCCGGTGATCACTCTACCCAAGTGGCTAGTGAAGTCAGCTCTTTGCACTTAGTAATCCATATAGAGAGATGCTTATAGAATTCTTCTTTGATGAACATAAATTTGTTGAAGTACATTTTTATGGAAGGACTCAGATTGTCCCTTAACATTGGCCCACTGAAAAACAAAGACCTGCCTGAAAAACATCTTCTAGAACTCAACGAAGTGAAATGCCAGAAAGGATAAAAGACACAGATTCAACAGGCAAGAGAGCATCATTTGAAGTATTCAGATGTTCAGGTAGAAACTCTCTGACCAGCCTCAATGCGAGCATGTTGCTGAATGACTAGTTCTCTCCTTTTCTTGGGAAGCCAACTATTGCCACCTTACCTCCATCTCCCTGCACCCTGATGACTCCCTGCTGGGACGGTGGTCCACACACTGCTGCCCCACCCCCTTAAATTGTTTGCTTACTGTTACTCCAATAAAATTTCTCTATTCTTTCGCATTTGTGTAAAAATGGTGGTCTTTTACCATGGGAAAGACCACTTATATTTCTTTGAAGAGCACAGGGATGAATTTTACTTTTTGGTAAAATTACAAAATTACTACAGAGCTTGACTTGTCTACCCTCTAAGAGGTCTCCCCTCATTCTTACCCCTTCTGCCCGTCAACAACCACATTCTTCTTGGATTCATTTATTAGGTTTCTATAGAAATTACCTGTAATCAAGGTTTTTGAGATCTTTGCAGATTTCCTGGTTACAAATAAGATCCCTTTAACATATGGATAAAAGTGGTGCAAATCTATCCCTTCTCTTCTGGGGACTCCTATCCGGGTGATTTCTAGGAGCCCCCAAAGCACACTTCCATGTTCAACCAGCATGTCCTGGTAGTCACATTCCTGGAGGGAACTTTGGTGGTCTGCTTGGAGAATGAACCAAGGGAATACAGTGCAGGTCAGATCTGGTCACCAGTGGCCAAGAGGGAGAGAGAACAGTCTGGTTTCTTTTTTGTAAAAGTAAAAATAATAATAAGAAGAAATGGTTTCACATCCCAAAAGACATCAACTGCTTTGCCTTTGTGAGAAGGGATAATTTATCTCTCTGTCTCCCTCCTGGGTTTTAGGATAAGCCCTTTCTCCTTCTAGAAGGAAAATCATCAGCTTGGTGCAGTAATGCCCAGCGCTACCTAGGAGTCCCCTCCCTGTGACTTCCAAAATCTCAGTGACAAAGCCAAAGGCTACAGAAAGCTTCATACCTGCTGTTACTGTGGGGCCAGTGAGGAAACTGAATTGCAGGTCTGTGTGATGCAGACACAATGGACAGAGAACAGTGGCACCTGACTGAGAGCACAGAGGGGAGCATCAGGGGGGAGGAGCTCAGAAAGTTCTTCTAAGAGCAACAAGCTTGAGGCTGTCCATGCTGTGGACATGTTCCCCAAGCCAAGTTTCCCCAGCTCTCCCGAGGGTGGGGGAAGAAATCTTTGGTGAGGGCCTAGCATACACCAGGCACTTGGTACAAAGCGGGGAGTAAAGAAACTAATACTTTGTCCCCATCACACCAGCTTCAAACAGGTGTGAGCCCTGTGGTGTCTTGGATGAGATGGAAACCTTTCCATAGGAAGGTCAGGGAGAAGGTAAATTTGCACGTGGACCTCTAACTGTGTTGAATCCTCTGTCCTACATCCTCTGGTAACACAGGTGGTCCTGCTGTGTTCTCTGCATCACAGGGACGAAGTGGGGGGATGTTCCTCATCATCCCATTGCTGATCGGTCCCTGTGAGGGTCTGCCCCTGCAGTCTGAAGCAGAGGCTCTCACCATGTGGGAATGGTGCCAAATTGCAATTCAATATCTTATCGGGCAGGTTGAAAAGATCTGATAATACCTGTGCCACCATGTTGTATTCCCTGCCCCCAAGTTCACAACATTCTTCATAGATTTGGGAACTCTTTAAGACCTATGATATTATTTAGCTGAGTGTCTTATATCTCACTTCCCCTATAGCTCTAAAGAAAAATGAATAAGAAGGGTTGGCAGGTGGTGGGGAGGGGCAGGGAGAGGGAGAGCATTGCTCAGAGGAAATAGAGGAAAGAGGAGGAAGAGGAGGAGTGTGATGGAGACTTATGTGGGCAGGGCTGGACCACCAGATCCACCCCAAGTCTTCTCTGTGAGCAGCATCACTGTTTGTGGAAGTCTGGAGGGGACAGCATCAGAGGGAGGAAGTAAAAAAAAGTGAACAATGGGAGAAGAGGAATCTGAAATGAATCCAAACCCTGGCAAGAGAAGAATGGCAATCCCAGGTGCTATCCCCATGTGGTCCCCCCGACACGCACACTGTCCTGCTGCATCCTGGGGCACTGGATGCCTTAGACCACTGAGACGGGATGCATTTTTATCTGTTTAAAGATTTTATTCATTTATTTTAGAGAGGTGAAGGGAGGGAGAAAGAGAAGAAAACATCCATGTGTGGTTGCCTTTCGTGCAACCCCTACTGGGGACCTGTCCCACAAACCAGGCATGTGCCTTGACTGGGAATTCAACTGGCAACCCTCTGATTTTCAGGCCAGCCCTCAACCACTGAGCTGCACCAACAAGGGCTGAATGAGTTAACCTACCAGGTAAACCAAACACTGAAATTAATATATCACGTTGTCCTAACAAAATGCAAATGATTTGAACTTTGACTCAGTAGCTCTGAAGCAGCAAGTCTGCTCCCTTAGAAACATGATGACCTTGACCACCAGACCTTGAGTACTGACCATTTGCCCAACCCTAGTGCAGGGGTGGGAGCCCATTCCACCAGGAGGCCAATAAGGTCCCATTCTGAATGTTACACCAGGGATTTTAATTTTCATGTAGAAGAATAACAAGGGAAATACAATAACAAGAAAAATCAAAGCCAGTGTGATCAAATCAATACTTTATGCACAAGGAGGAGAAAAGGAGGAGACAGAACAGAACTGAAGTCCTGGCGTGGGTCTTCAGCAGCATGCAGACCTCACAGGGAAAATGGCTGGGTTCTGCCCACAAGCCGCAGATGGCTGACTGAGAAAATAGATCTGTCTCAGGTGCACCCCAGACTGGGTCTCTGTCTGCCCTGAGATGCCCCCCTGAATCCTTCAGCCAATGAAACACACTGGCTTTCTTGGCATCCCCTGTGTCTGAGGACAGTGGGAGTCTGAGGCCTCCACACTGGGAGACCAGGGGTCCTGATGGGGCCCCAACAGCAGAGGATCTCTGACCAGTGGGTGAGCACCCAGATGGACCTGCGGCTGCCTCTCTGATTGCTGACTGTCCCCAAATGCTGTCACCCCACCTGATTTTCCACCCCTGCCTGAAGAAGGCAGCTAGAAACCCTCTGTCACACGGTGTGAAGAAGGGACAGAGGGGTCTCTCAGAAGGCAGTTTCCTCGTTCCAGCCTGTCCTGCTTCCATCACTTGGTCTGACTCCCCAGGGAGCATCCTGAGCCTCAGAGAAGCTGAGGGGCATCTGAGGAGTGTCAGTCTCTTTGTGAGGTCACATGGCACTTACCAGTCAGAGGCCGGGGCACACCACCATCCTGATGTCTTCTGGTCCTAGTCTACCTCGCCTCCTATGGCCTTGTCCCCAGGAACAGCCCTCCAGGAAGACCCCATGGGGCACGGAGTCCCCCCACCCATCAGGCGGGTGCTTCCTACTGTGCTCACAGCCTCAGCTGCTCCCTTTGCAGCTTCCCTTTCTTCCCTGTGCCCCTCTTTCTGACACCACAGATACCTCACAGGGGACCCCCTACACACCCAGATACCCACCCTATGCCCACTCTCTCCCCACTGTCCAGTGAGAAGGGAAGGGCTACAGGTAAGGCTGAGACAGGATGAAGACCCACCTTTAGTTTCTAACATCAGGAGGCAGATATGAGGAGAGGGGACCCTAGTCATAGCATCCCTAATCTAGTCTGCTTCAGGGAAGGCTCATCCTCTGCCCAAGCCCCCCTGGCATTTCCTGTAGCCTCATGTCCTGTAGCCAGGTCTTGGGGCACCATCCTGACCAGGCCCTGCTCCTTGGACACCCTGGCCCCATTTGGCTCATCATTGCCACCAGCAGGCCCCACAAGGCCCATTTGCTTCAATGGCCACCTTCAGGGGTGAATGAAGGCAATTTGGCGCTGCCGGCTGCCTCAGGCCATGTCCCTCTTTCCCCTCACTTCTCCTGCCCCACCCAGCAGCTGCCCCTCCTCACTTGCTGCAGAGCCAGGGGTCTGTCCTGACCCCCCACACAATCTGGTGCCTTAAAGTCCTTATGCTGCCCCCTCTGTGGGCGAGGACACAGCCCAAGACTGCACAGTCACCTGGTCAATGTCATGCACTGCTTTGCTGTCATTGGTAAGGAGTGACTCCAGTGACCAGGACACAGTGGGGGTGACAGGGAAGAGTGAGGAGGCCCTGCCCTCAGGGAGCTTTGGTGCAACTCAAGGGCAGAGAAGAACTTCAACAACTGCGATGCCATGGTGCTGTGCGGTCCTGTGAGACAGGGGACTGCAGAGGAGCAGGGAGGGTGCACATGTGCTCCAAAATCGAGATGAAGGACGGGGATGGGAGCTGGGACTCAGCAGGCTGCACCCTGCAGACGCACGTAGTCCAGGAGCCATGAGATGCAGAGGGAGGCAATAGGCTGCAAGGTGGACCCAGGGCTGGGGAGGCTCCCAGGAAATGGCTGTCCCCACTGGAGTCGGGCACCTGGTCAGACAGTGCCCCTTTAGGAGACATCTGTGGGTTTTCTCAGGTGCCCTGGATTTGGTGCAGCCCCTCCAGCCAGGACTCTGCACTGGCGGCTTCCTCAGAGCCTCACCCTGGGCTTTTTGCCCTCCCTGCCCTTCCGTGCGCAGGACTTGCGGCTGGCAGCACCTGTTAAGCCTCCTTGCTGTAAGGACGGCCTTCGTGTTCCCACAGGATCACCTCAATGGTCTCCATGAGCTCTGCCAGCTGGGCCTCTCTCCCCGCGCCATCTTCCCTGTTGTTGAAGCCACAGTGGCGCCTCGCGCAAACCACGTCCAGGTTGGCAAGCTCCTTGTTGTCGGTGTCCTGCAGATACTGGTCCAGGGAGCCGCCCTCCAGGTCCTCCTTCCGGGTGAACACCAGGATGGTGTGGGCCAGGACGCCCACCCCGAAGACCTCCTGGAGGCGCCTGACCACCTCCTGGTCCTCCTTTGTGAAGCGGCCCAGCTGCAACACCAGCAGCACTGCGTGGGGCCCCGGGGCGCAGCAGGCGATGGCTGCCCAGGAGCCCTGAGCTCCTCCTTCCCGTGAAACTCCAGAAGACAGAATATCGGGGGTGTCGGTCACCTCAAGCTCCTTCTGAGCCCAGTCACGGCAGCCATGCTGGAAGGTCATGGTCACGGGTCTGGGGCTGAGTTTGGATATGAAGGCTTCCCTGCCCAGGATGCTGTTTCCTGTGGCACTTTTCCCACTTCCGCTTTTTCCCACCAGCAGGAGCCTCAGCTTCTTCGGTGTCTTTTCCTTCTCCTGCAGATCTAAAAGCATCCAGACACATCAGGGAATAGGAGTTACAGCCCATGGACCCCGTTTAGCCTCCTTTCTATCCTCAGCCCTGGATCCTCATGACCCCAGGGGCTGGCTCTGCTAGGAGGAGGGACAGGAGTGACATGTGGACAGGAGACCTGCTCTGGGCCCAGGCTTCTTTTTTTAAAAAACATTGTTTTATGGTGGAAAATATATACCACGTTGAAATCCCTTGTTGTCACTGGGCTTTGGTGTGCAATTCAGTGGCCCTGTGCACCTTCACGTTGCTGTGTGGTCATCACTCTTACGCATCTCTTGGAGTTTTTGTCACCCCAAACAGAAACTCTGTCCCCGTGAAAGGCAACTCCTCATACCTCCCTCCCTCTGACCCCCAGCTCCCTGCCAGCCTACTTCCTGTCTCCGTGAACTGTGCTGTTCTGCTCTTCTTGGGGCCTCAGAGACCTGGGTCCCTGCACTTTGACCTTTTATATCGGGTTCCTTTCACTCGTCATCAGTGGTATCAAGGCTCATTCACCCTGCAGCCTGGTCAGAATTCCCTTCTCGTGCAAGGCCAGATGATACCACGTGGCACGGACAAACCACACTGTGTTTACTCTCCCATGTGGGCACGAGCCGTTTCCACTTTTTCCGACTGTGAATGACACGGTTTCACACATTGGACCAATGCGGGTCTGAGTTCCTGTTTGGATTCTATGGGGCACATACCCAGAATGCAATTGCTGGATAATGTGGCAGAATGCCATGTTTTTATGTTTAGGTTTGAAATGTCTTCTCAGGGTCATGTCTTCTCACCCAGATAGAATCAGCCCATCATGAATGAGGGACCCTGGGCTTTCCTGGGTGTCCCTGATGATGAGGGGTGTCCCTGATGATGAGGGGCCCCAGCCTCTGTATCTATGTCTTGGCCCCCAAGTGCCTGGCCCCATAAATTTCCTCTGCTTTTCCACATGGACTATGGGGAGGGCTGTGCCTTTCATCCAGACCCCAGGCTCCACTGCGCAGAGGCTCCCAGGGGGCACAGTCTGAGGCTCCATCCTGGACATCTGGGCTGCATGTTTCCACCCAGACGAATACAGGACAGGCGGAGCGAAACACCTGATGTTAGGGTTTCAGAAATGACTGGGGGATATTTTTTCTCTCAATAAATAAAAAGAAATGACTGGCGTCTGGGGAATGGGAAGAGAATTCCTTCCCCTGCCCTTTCAGCTCATCCCCGGAGCAACAGACAGGTGTCCAATGGCCCCGCTGGGCTCCGTGTCGGCTCTACAGGGAAGACATTGATGTGTCTCAGTGACAGAGCCCCGCCCCCTCAGACATGCCTGGCGTCCTTGGCTGGTGGACCCGGCAACCAACTCTGGTTGAGGACTCTGTTCCCTCCAGCTTCCCCCATGTGGCTCTGAGAGCAATGTGGGTGAATGGGGGGGTGGGGGAGCGTCAAAGAAGCGTGAAAGCAGAGTGCTCATCCCTGCCGTCCTCGCTGGTCTAGAGCCCGACCAAGACCGGAACTCCCACCTGGGCAGCCAGGAGCCAGTGCACCCCGAACACACCACTCAGGCTGCAGAGAGGATTCTAAAGGTAATATTCAACCTTGATGGCCATGAGAATAGCTAAATCGAGTGTCAGTTCTTGTATCAGTAATTTTCCCATGTGGTGTATTAATAGGGCTTTCTCCTGATGATTCAGGCCATCGAAGGTCATACAGTAAATAAATCATTAGTGCCAAATACATAATGAATCACAAATAAATTCTTCTGGCCAGGAACATGGACACATTGCCAGCACTCCCTAATTCTGTCTGCCCCAATTAGATGATGAGGTTGAACCCATGACTCTCAGGCCCCTGACCCCCAACACAAAAGCTCTTGGAGAAGAGCCCTGGGGAAGGGCCAGCCCAACACAGAGGCAGCCACTCCTTCAGTGGTGCTGGGTGGCCCTGCTGACCCTCAGCGCCCCCCACCAGAGTCAGCCCATTGCCCCTGTGGGCTCGGTTGGCTTGTAAGCCTCTGCCGTGGGAAGTAGTCTTCTCACACTAACCTTCCTGAGAGCGTGGATAGAGCCATCAGTTGCCCCCTCTGTCCCACTGTGCTATTCGGAGTCTTTCCCTCTTATTTGGTGGGGAGGCAAGGCCCCACCCAAGGGCCCCATGCAGGGTGAAGCCCTGGCTGGTTGCACTCCGATGCCTCCTCAAGTGCACTCCTGCACACCCATGTCCCCGTGCACTCCTCCCTCAGGGCCACCTACACTGCAAAGCTGCGGTACCTGCCCACAGGTCTTGGGTAGGATGCTGGGACGGCGCTCCTGCGGGGCTGTCCTCCAGAATCACCTCGAACTCTTCATCCTCCACCTGGGGAAACAGCATGCCGGTATTAGTTTCAACTGTGCTTCACAAGGCAGCCGGCTTTGCCTTTCTCCTGCCAGAAGGAAGTGTTTGGATTGCATTGGGGGGATGGACTGAGAGAGGAGGGGGAAGAAGGTCTGAGACACTCTCTACCTCCTTCGGGGACCCTGTTTCTCTCTCTTAGCTCCTCAGTTCCCATGGTGAGTCTAAGCGATTTCATAGAGAAGGAGCCATCGGCCTGCAGCCTAAGGAACGATGCTGTTAGGATGGACACAGGGTCCTGGGATTCCCCTGTGAGGAGGAGAAAGGAGCAGAGATGCAGAAGCAGGTCTGATGGTCTGTTCCAGGAATTGGGGGGAAGATGAGTGGCCAGACTGGGGCTGTGAGAGGAAGCTGTGGTGTGGGGCTGCCTGGGGGCAGGTCCTGGTGCCAGGACGACACCTGAGGACCACCTGGTCGAGAGGGTGGCCAAGGGCTCAGAGGTGGGTGACCAGGTGCTGTGGTGAGGAGGTCTGTTTCCCCGGCACAGGAACCTCAGGGTGTGGGGACAGTCCTGCTGGGAGCCAGGGGACCTCAGGGCCCAATTTCATGGCCATCTGTTAGTGTGGTAGCACTGCCTGGGCCTCAGAGTCCTCACAGTGTGAAATGTGGGCCTCAACGAGATGTCCCCATGGTCCTGAGAGCATTCCAACCCACTCCACGACATTTTCTAGAGCACATCCCAGTCTTTGCAGAGAGGGTCCTGTCACCCTGCCAGGACCTGTTGTAACCCTTCTGGGGCGAGAGCAGGGCACCTGCCACCTCCCTCACTGCCTCACAGACTGACAAGTTTCCCTGTTTCAGCCGCTCATCTCCCCTGTGGCCTGGGGACAGGAAGTACACAGCCCAGGACTTGTCTGCTGGGACACACAGAGCACTGGGAAGCATTCACACTCAGGGAGTGTCTCCAGGTGAAGGCCCAGAGTGTCACGGAGCCTCCACAGACCCTGCCCTGCACGGTGCCTGGCACCTCTGCCCTCTTCCTGCTTTGTCTCCATCGAGAACGGAGCAGACGCGTCACCCTGCTGTTTCTCAGGAAGAGAGTGGGGCTCACGGGCTCGTCTTCCCCGTGACTAGATGAACCGGGGGTTTGAGGCAGGACCCAGAACGCACAGAGTCCTCTTGACCTCTTAGTCACAGCCCTTTGTAATGTTCCTCAAAGATACACACAGACTCAACAGCCAAACACCGAAAGCAACACACTTTCATAAACACAACACAGACCACTCACCACAGAACACCCATCTACCTCCGAACATACCGACACACACATTCACACCACACATGCATACACACAGATGTAACACACAAACACAACACACAATGTCCACACATACACAGTCAAGCACAGCACACACCTACACTCACAAACCAGCACACACACAAATATCCACACACAACTCATATGGAAACATAACACGCACAACACACAGAACATTCGTACCTACACTCTCAAACATACAAACTCAACACATGCAAAAACACACCACACACTCCCAAATACAACATGTACACAACATAGACACACAATCACAACGCATGCAGACACACTCACCCACACGTTTGGACTTACCTCCCTGCTGGCCTCTGGACCAGAGGAGTAGCCTTGACTCTTGGCTCTGGGGACCAAGCGCTCTGGCGAGTCATCACTTTTTCCTTTTGGGGCCAACTCTGCGGGCTTCTGGGAGCCGTGACCAGAAGAATTGAAGGTAGCACCACTGGCATTTGAAAAAAATAAGGACATTGCTTCTATTTTTCAGGAAAATGTGATGGAACGCTTGCTCGCTTAGCTCCGGAGCTGAGCTGGAAGGAGCTACTGTCTGCTGTGAACTGAAAACAGGAAGGGGGCGGAGCACCCAGGGCCAGGCCTGCCCCAGTCATGTGCCCTGAAGTTTGCATAGTAATGCAAACAGGAAGAACAAGGGCAGGAGAATATGATTCTTTTCATTTTGAACTAGCTTAAGCAGGACTCAGAGGCTTAAAAAAGGCAGCAGGCCCTTCCTAAAACTGTATGCTAGGGCAATGGCTTTTTACTGGTTTCTCTTTTTAAGAACAGGGGATTCACACAGCTATCTTTTGCCTTCCCCGTCATGACAGAAATTCCTTGTCTCTTTTCTTCCCCTAACTCATCCTTCCTTTCCATGTTTTCTCTCAGAACAAGGCCTTGGACCTGCACTGGAACATCAGCTCTTCTGAGTCTTGAGCCAAATGTCTTCAGGAGGGAATGACACCGTCATCTTTTGGGTCTCCGGCTTGCTGACTGCAGGTCTCAGGACGTGCATTCCATGATCACATGAGCCAGCTGCTTATGATGAATTATGCGAGCAAACTCACTGTCATAGATAATCTTCCTTGTAATAAATACATCTTTTTGTGTACACATACGTGTGTGCGCACACTCACGCGCATTCTGTATCCGACAATTCCAGATCTGTGACGTAGCTGAGTGGCCCGGATGCTGGCTTTGTGTTTTCAAACTGTGTTTCTTTCCTGCCCATTAGCTTGCCTCCTGATGCTGAAAGTTGGACGTAACAGAGGGGAGGAGTGGAAGAGACTGGGCCTGCAGTGTGTCATCTCCCCTGGGTCTGTGGGTTTCGGTGAGGACCCCCTTTCATTGAGCTTTGAAACTTTCTTTCTTGATTTATTTAAATGACAGTTTGCATCCAACATTGTATTCGTGGTAGGTGTGCGGCATAGTGGTGAGGCACTGACCTGTCGTACAAAGTGATAAGCGATCCCCAGATAAAGCTGGCACCCACCGGGCCCCACCCATAGTTATTACAATATCATTGACTATGTTCCCTGGGCTGTGCTTTACGTCCCCCTGACTGTTCTGTAACTGTCCATCTGTACCTTTTAAAGGACGTCTTCTTAAATAGAGTCTGTTCCTCAGACTTGTCTCGGCTTCACTCTACTGTGGTTACCCTGGAGTTCAGTCCAGGTGGTGTTCGGGTATGAAGGAGCGTGAGCCTGACCTTGTGGTCAACTCCCACTCTCAGCGGGCCTGTGCCCCTGGGCTGTGTCACGGTTGTTTTTGTTTCTAACTTCCCCTTCTTCATTCGCCCTTTAGGTGACACAGGCCAAACACAGTCACTTCTCAGCATTTCCTCCTCATGGTATCACAGTGTCTTTTTTCTCCACATGCTCAGGCCTTGGCGACCCCCCATCGGTGACTTGAATGCTTCATCCCACCTTTTCCTCTGGAACTTTTGTAAAGAAGGGAACGCATTAGTCACGTGTCTCTGGCGGGGCTGATATGAACACACTTGCCGCACTGCAGGTAAATGTCCAACACACCGTGTGTTCACTGCACCTCCTCTGAGTTTAGATACAAAAGTACTTACTGTCCTGCCTCAAGCACCCAGTGGGCCCCTGCGTGGTTATTACGGTGTTACTGACTCTGTCTCCTGGGCCGAACTTCACACCCCCGTGGCTACTCCGTGACGACCAACCTGTGCTTCTCCGTCCTTCCCCTTCCTCACCCAACTCCCAACTCGCCTCCCTGTTGGCAGCCATCAGTCTGGTCCCTGTTTCTGGGGGTCTGTTTGCATTTTGTTTGTTTGTTTTCCTCCTTAGATTCAACATATGAGTAAAATCACATGGTATTTGTCTCTCTCTGTCTGACTCAGTTCACTTAGCACGATACTGTTTAGGTTCATCCATGTCGCCCGGTGTTTTCATGGCTGAGTAGAATCCCACTGTGCATATCAATATACATAATTGTTATTTGTCAACTGTACCTCAATAAAGCCAGAAGAGAAAGTAGCTGAAAATATTTGAAAATGAAAATGAAAATAATATAGCCCAAAGGCATTAGATTAATGATATAAATTATATATCCATATCATAAATTATGTATAAAAGCTGGGTTATAGTCACACATGGACAGTATATAGCAGTGAAAATGCACAGTTTATTGCTACATATTATAATATGGACACATCTAGAAACCTCATGATAAACCAGAAAAAGTCAGATTCAGAAGAATACACAGTGCATGAGTCCATTCATGTGAAGAACAAGGGTGGCTGGAATGACTTTGTTTGGTTAGAAGTCCAACCAGAGGCCACCCCAGGAGGGCCCAGGGGATGCTGGGACACTAATGGTGTTCTGCTCCTTCGTCTGTGTGCTGATACTCAGTCATGCTCGGTCTGTGACCATTCTGAGAGCTGCAAAGTCAAATACGCCCTTTCGTCCATGTAAATTATACTTCAGCAGAAACTGAAAACTGAAAAAAATAAAGGAAACGTACCAGCACAGAAACAGAAACAAAAGTACATGGAGAGGACATCTCTTTGTGAACATGTAGGAAAGTTCTTTCTCCCTGTAGTGAGGACTCTGATTCAATGGAGATTATTTTTAAACCCCCCGTGATGTTTTTCTTGCATGCTAGAGAGGGAAGGTGGTTCTAAAATACAGATGTAAGTATACCCATAAGTGTAGCCAGCTTCCAGAAAGACTAAAATAATTCCATACAATAGAACTGAGAGATTTCCTCAAGTTCTACTAAGCATGATTCTGAGCCAGAACCACTACTACCCAGTACCCCCTGAGCCCCCCTCTAAGGCCAGGGGGGAAGACAAGACTCTGTGTGCCGTGGGTGTGACGATTCCAGATGAAGATGTACGTGCGTGAAATCTATTCGGGCAAGTGCTTGGGACCCAAGGCTCTGGAAGGGACAGTGAAGGAAGCAGGGCTGGACAGGAAGAGCCCTGGACTGTGACGAGTCACAACAGGGCTTTAGCCATGCTCACATGACCTGAAGCTTCACTGTCCCTATAACAGGGTGTGGCCAGAAGAAGGGGCCCCCCAAAAAAGAATTTGGATTGGGGTCCAGAGATCAGGGTGTCCAGTAAATATTAAGGTGTCCTCACCACCACCCCCCACCCGGGGGGAAAGGGACAAATGGAGCAAGGTCATTGAGAGTAGTTTTGCACAGCAACAGTTTTGCAGCTAACCTCTGGAATGGTCATTTAACATATCTATAACCTTTAACTGGCTTCATAGATATGTTAAATAGCTGTGGCCATGCTTTGAGCCAGGGAGAAGGGAGGGGCTTCTATCAAAGATGTAACTGGGGGCAGGTCCCCCAAGTTACAGCGTCTGCATGAGAGCTTGAAGTTGATTGGCTCCATGACATGGGGCCATACCTGCCCAGACTAATGATGGCAGCCCAGTGAACTTGTAATAATACAGAAATACTGGCAGGTGTAACTGATTGTAGGAGGAGTCAGAAATGGGGCTGCCAAGGAGGATGGGCGCGGAGATTTAAACCCAGATGCGGCAGCCATGAAAGAGAGAACCATGCAGTTTTGGTCAGAGTGCTGACCCCTGCAGTTTTGGTAGAAGAGGCCCACGTGGCTTTGGGGTGCTCCCTTTGGCCACGTGGCCAGGGAAGCAGGAGAGACTTTGACTGGAACTTGGTACAAAGAACTCTTGCCAGTGGACTGTGAGAGGATGCCACATGACTTTAGATTAATTAGAGGTTCTGCCTGGACAGTCAACACAGCTGACGATACCAGCGGCCTAGAAAAATGGACGTGTACTCTTTCCCTGATTTACGGTACCCGGAGTTGGGATAGTGGGAGAAGGGAGAGCTGTGTGTATGTATATAAGTGTATACCCTAAAGGACTTTGATATTTTAGTAGAGGCGTTAGGCCTGAATAGCATTACATAAACATTTTGTTTCCTTTTCACAAATCTCTGGCCTTGAGAGATGTCTTTCCAATTGGCGACGGACAGAAGAGCCCAGTAGATATTAGTATTCTGTCCTTGGGAGGGGCCCTTGTTGTTCTGTAGCAGTTTTTTTGACCTCCCTAATATTTGGTGTTTGGCCTCCCTAACACTAAATATTGCCCCCTCTTGGACCTCTGCTCTATAACATCCCCACATGGGGCAAGAGGTCAGGCCTTGGTTAGTCCTAAGAGCAGTCATGACTGTGAGCTGCCCTGGGAGTGAGGGGTGACCATGGGGGAGGGGACCACTCTCACTCTCAGCCTACCATTGAGAGGAGGGGTCGGCGGTGAGCCGTCAGCCATCAGCACCCCAGTCAGCTGGGAGACCTGGCACCTTAGCCCGAAAACCGTCCCCAGAGTCCAGGAAACTAGTAACAGCAGCTGCTTGGCAGACTTAATGTGCACTAGACCAGTGGTTCTCAAAGCAGGGGAGGGTCTTGGGGTGGGAGGAAGATGCCAAGTTAGCAAGAGAGCACTTGATCAATCCCTGCACTTTCAACAGGTGATTTTTCAAGTCCGGGAACTGATAACTGGTAGCAAGTTAGACTTGCAGAGTAGATCTCTTTCTTTTCTTTAATTTTAATTAATTAATTAATTAACTTTTATTATTCTCACCCAAGGACACTTGTTCATGGCTTCCAGGAAGTGAGGAAGGTGAAGGAGGAGAGAGAGAGAAACATGGAATGAGAGAGAAGCATCCATCAGTTCCCTCCTGTGTGTGGGGATCGTAACCTAGGCTTGTGCCCCGACCCAGATCCAACCCAAAACCCTTCTGCTACAGGACAACACTCCAACCCAATGAGCCACACTGGCCAGGGCTGGAGCTCATATCTTTCATATGGTGCTGCCTGTCTGAGAGCAGGGGCCCTTGATTCCACCAGGGGAATCTTTTAGCCAGTACCTGGCATTTGAGGACCTGGATCTCTAACTGTTCGCTCAAACTACTCAGGTGTGTGTATGGCTCCACCGCCCTTCTTCTGTCTTTCCGTGGGTGTGTTCCTTGTCCACCCGCTGTCCTGGAGAAAAACTCTTACTCCCAAGAGAGAAATGGCATCTCAGGGCCAGTGGGCTGCAGCGGCCTGTTCGGGCAGCGGGGATTTCAGTCCCTTCATATCACACCAGATGAGACGGTCCCTGCCCCTTCAGGGGACAGAGCTGCCTCCGTAGCAGCCTCACGGGTTGTGGTTTCCTGTCACAGGCTGAACCAGAAACCCTTGTTTTTCAGCCTTGGCCAGAATACCCAAACCCAGTTCTTTTTTAAAACATAGCTGAACTCCCAGAGAACGAGAAGGAAAACCACCTTGAAGTGCACAGCCCAGGCCCTCTGCAGCTCCCTGTGGCCACAGTCACGGTTGTTCTGTTTCCGTGCACTGAGGGGGTGGTGGGGCCGGGGGCAGAGGCAGGGCAGAAGGTCGCTGAGGAGGACCCCAGAAAAGAGGCAGGGACAGGTTGCTGTCAGGAGGCACCTGAGGCGGAAACACAGGGATCACAGGCGACGCGCTGGTCTTTACAGTCTGCGCGGCCACATTTGCAAGAGTGGATTTTCAATTAAAAAAATGCATTTTGGGTAAAGTTGTTTATACAAAATATTAAAATTGTGGGAGTTGGAACATTGAGGGCTACCTTAGCTCAAACATCCTCTGACTTTTTAGTGATTCCAAAATACAATGGTGTGTTGAAAACTCCTGCACGGGCCCGAAGGAGGCCACAGCCATGTCAACCCATCAGTAAAAATCTCCCCATCCCAGTAGCTAGGATTTTTCAGTATTAAGTCAATATTTTCCTTTTCCTTTATATTTTCTCATGTTTGTTTTAGCCTGTGCACCCTCTCCTTTTGTTTTGTGCCTTCTTATTAAAAATAATACTCTTGATAACTTCACTGTCCAATATGGCAGCCGCTAGCCACAGGAAGCCACTTAATGATATGAATTAAAGTCAAATAAAATCCGAAATGTATCTTCTCCATCACACCAGCCACATTCCAAGGGTTTAGAAGTGACGTCTGGCTAGTGTTGGGCTGCCATGCTGGACAACGCAGATATTCAAAATTCTGTCATCCCACAGTATTCATTCAACATTACCACTTTATAAATAAACCTTTTACACAAAACTTTTGTCCAATGCATCTTCATGTGTATTCTCAAGAAATCTGTGGTATATTTTTTACTGGGGATGGAGACCTTGACCCATTTCCCAGCATAGCTTTGAACCATGAGATACAATGACTTGTAAACACCATAGGGGCACGTGAACAGCTCCCCATCACCCAGCCACGGTGTTCCTTCCTCCCTTCCTCCTCACTTCTGTCTTAACCTGCACCCAAGACTGCAGTCACTAAACTTACTGGAAGAGCTAAGTGTGGTGAAACAGAGAAATCGCTTTCTGTGATGGTCATGGGCCAGTGTTCAGAAGGGACAAGAGTGGAGACACTTGGCTGAGAAGAAATTTCATCCAGGAGATCTTTTTCTTTTTTTGGTTGTGACTTAGTTATTCATTTTTATCCTCACCTGATTAGAGACAGGAGAAGGGAGGGAGGGAGAGAGAGAGGGAGAGAAACATCGGTTGCCTCTCATGCATGCCCCGACCGGGACTGAACCTGCAAACTAAGCTCGTACCCTGACCCTGACCGGAAATCAAACCTATGACCATTGGTGACCTGTGACCTTTTGGTTTACTGGATGATGCTCCAACCAACTGAGCCCCACCAGCCAGGGACATCAGGGAGATCTTTAGAACTCTGCTGGGACTTCTCCTCAGTGGCCCAAGGATGAAGCAAGAAAAGTAATCTTTGTGTCTCCGAACTCAGAGGAATGATATGAAATGAAAGGACCTTCTCCTCCAGCTGCTGGGGGGTGCCACCAGCTCTCAGCCCTGTCTGGCCATTGGCTTCTGCCGAGGAGGGACGCTTATGCAGGTCAAGTGTCCTTCCCGGGGTAGAATGACATCTGCAATTGGTCCCTGGAATTATGAAGCCCCTCATCTTCCCGCTGAGCGTCCACTCAAACTTGAGCTTTCAAGGTGGAGAGGGGTCTGCCGTGGCTGCATCCCAGTTGGACTGCCCTCTGCAGCGCCCTGGGCTCCTTCCTGTGCTGCTCGGAGACCAGTCCACAGCGCAGCCCCTGCTCAGGAGATCAGATGAGCCCCCATGTGCAAACGTTCTGCAGTGTTGATTGCTACTTCCCAGTTATGCTCTAAACAGTTTAAGAGCAAACTCATCCTATTTTAAGGGAAACAATTTAGAGTAAAGGCCTTTGGCTTAAGTGAAGCCTCTTTACAGGAACTGTAAACTTCATACAATTTATTTTACACATTGCTGGCAAAGAGAGGGTCCTTGGCATAAAGCCAATACATAGCTCTCACCGGGAAGAACTAGGGTGTGATGTGTGGCCCGCGTTTTCTGCGCCTCATCGCTTTGGCTATGCTGCCAGATTTAAACAAGACTCACAGAGTGACTTTAGGCAAGTGACTTGATTTCCCTGTAACACACAGAGAGTAACTCTTCACTTATCTTGTCAGCCGCGTGTAAAGAAACGAGGCCTGGTTGTGGGCGTGCTCCAGGACTGCGAGGGTCTTTCCGGATTTGGTACTGGAACTTAACAGGCAGCTATTGCTGCTCCATTGGTGTCTGGTCTCCCTGTCCCTTGGGAGCCGCAATGGAACAAATGAACACAGTCAGTTGGGGAAGAAAGCGACCTCAGGTGCACATACCTGTCTCACCATGTCCTGAGCCCATTTTCTATAGAAATTGTTACAGAAAACAACTCAGCTGCTTTCAGGTGTATGGAGTGGAACTTTATTTATGGGTGCGGCCCCAGAGGAGGCAGTCTCCCAATTCTGGGCCCCAAACTTGGGCAGGGGCTTGTTTATATAGTGTAGCACGTGGAAGTGATTTTACTAAGCCTACGTGGCAGAAGCAGGTTTACAGAAGCAAGAAAGCAGGGCTGCTGATAGGGTCATACAATGTTCTTTTGTTCTTAGTTACTTACTTAGTTGCTCACCCTTCCTTATCTTAGTGGCTCAGCAAATGGACTGTGTCCTTCTGACATGTTTGGGTTTGTCTAGGCAGGTTTCCTGCTACAAAATCATCAAAATATTCTGTCCTCTCGAAGCAGAATATAAGCTACCAGCTCTTTAATCATTGTGGAATCATTTTACACGGCTTGTCCTGCATTTCCCTGGGGCAGTCATCTCATTGGTGCAGCCCTCTCCCTGGTCTTGGAGCAGAGTCGGGGTAGTCAGCCCCCTGGAGGTGGGACCCCCAGTTTGGCTCCATGTCGCTGACCCTCAGGACACTGGTCTTTCAGAGGGCCAGAATGGAGATTCAGGCAAGTTTGCATGATGAAATCTGTTTCTATATCCATCTTGTCCCCACCCCAAGTAGGTTTTTCTAGGATCCAACATGGTAATACACTGCAGTCCTACAGAAATCCAAATATTTAAAAACCACTGGAGGCAGGGTAGGATGAAAGCAAGAGGGGGGAGGTGGGTTTGGCTGGGGTGAGGTGGGGAGTGGTTGTTGGAAAACGCAGACAACTGAGCAGCAATAAAATAATTATTTTTTAAAAATGACTAACTTATTTTATTTGATAATGGAGTTAACTTCTCTTTCATAAGTGTAATATATTGTGAGAGCATCTTTTCCATATGTGAGAATAATTCCTTATCGCTAAAAACATTCCATTGGCGTGACCAGCATAGTAATAACAGGGTGAACTGGCTCTTAACAGGATCACACGTGAAGAACCAACACAGCAGAAGATCAGAGCTGAGAATCATGCTGGTGGGAAAACAGGGACGGGCAGACGTGCCACAGGAGACAGCATCCTGGGGGAGCGAGCGTTTGAGTCCCAGTTGCCCTCCCAGGCCTTCACTAAGACCTGCAGGGAGAGTTCAGGATGCTGGGGAGAGAGCACTGGTCTTCATGGACACACTGGACCTGATTTCAGGGAAGGACCGCTCCAATCCCTTGCACAGAGTGGTGCAGAAGTGCCATCTACTCTGGGCCCCAGACCCCCATGTGTTCCTCCTGGTGACGCAGCTGCGCCGCTTCACCGTCCAGGACCAGTAGGCGGTGAGGAGGGTGAAGGTGGTCTTTGGAGAGGGTGCCATGAGACACACAACTGTCCTCTTCAGCCACAAGGAGGACCGAGAGGGAGGCTCCTGGATGGAGTACATCCACTACTCAGGAAATAAAGCCGTAGGCAGGCTGACGGCCACGTGTTGGGGGCAACCATGTACCCTTAATAACCGAGCCAAAGGGAATGATTCGGAAGACCAAGTGAAGAAGCTGATGGACTTGATGGAGAGAAGTGGGGAGCCCTGCACCAAGGAGCTGCACAGCCTAGCCACAGGGCTGGAATGTGGACGTGAGTGGTCAGAGGAAAGATTAGAGGACTTCAAAGGGAGTCTCATAAAGTACATGGAAAAGCGGAGATGAGCCACAACCATGGCCAAAGGCAATTGCCTAAAAAGAGCCCTAATCAAAATGCAGGTGTGCGCTCTAGTTGGTGGTCAGTTGTCTATCCAATGGCTACCTCTGTTACATTGTGGATTGCTCAGAATATGAACATTTTTTTACTACTTACTCTGTGGTAGATGCAATTTGTTCTGTAGATTGTTTATGAGTGTTAATTACACTCAGAAAATTAGTGACAACCCCTGGGAAGACCACTGGCTTGGAATGCAAGACTCCCAGGTGACAGTTACTGATCAGTAATTATTTGTCACTGTCACAGAGGGAGTGAAGCCCAGTGCCTCCTCTCTAAAACGCAGTGCCAGACATCAGTGAATGGTTGAGAGTCAGCAAAGTTTTTAAATCTTACCATCACCCAATTTATCAATGAACCAAATTATTTTTAAAAATGGTTGTTTGTTTTTAAATATAACTCCAAAATCTTCTGAAAGCTTAAACATAAAATTCCTCCTGTTTGCAAAGATCTAAAGCCAGTTTGATGTTCCTGGGAACTCCTTTTTCTTGGAAACACTATGATTTCCACCGAATGTAATAAAGATTATGATAAAATTTCCCCTGGCTGTTGTGGCTCAGTGGAGTGAGTGCCATGAACCACAAGGTCCCTGGATCAATTTCCAGTCAGGGCACATGCCTGGGTTGTGGGCCAGGTCCCCAGTAGCGGGTGTGCGAGAGGCAACCACACATCGATGTTTCTCTCCCTCCCTGCCTCCCTCCCTTCCTCTCTCTAAACTAAATAAATAAAAATCTTTTTTAAAAATACAATTTCTACTGAATACAGTAAAATAACAATAAAAAGATAAGATGTAAATGTCCTGAGACCCCACGTCTTTCATTCTGTTCAGTGGTCTTTTCCTCAGAATGTGGTAAGTAGACACGTGGCTCATTTCAACACTGAAACTAATTATGTCCACTCAGCCCCCACGGACACAGTCATGCACCCGGTGTCTGTCATGAGAGCGTCCTGATTTCTGCAACACAAGGCCACCCAGGTGAACTCACCGACAGCTTGAGGGGGGTTGTTCCGGCAGAAACGCCACCGCCTTTGGACTGAGGACCAGGCCAGCCCATCATCGAAGTCCTTTCCCCAGAGACAAGGTATTCAGCTGCCTCCGCTTGGCCTCTCCTTACGTGGCACCTCCAGGAGAGAACGTGGTCACCTGTGGTCACCAGGTGGAATGAGACATGGACCATGCAGTGAGGACAGGGCTCAGACAGGGTGTGGGAGAGGCTGAAGGGTCACAATTGTGAGAGCACAAGGTGGCTGGGAAAGGCCTGACATCTGCTCTCGGGGGATGGGGGCAGCCAGTGAGGGGGTCACCGCCTTGAGTCTGGAGAGGAGACTGAGGACAGGGGGGTGCTGTGTTTGGGGACTTGGTGATTCCAGAATGTTTCTTTGAGTTCATGATGCCGGAGTGGCTGGAACCACCTGACTTGGAGAAGCCACAGCTTTGGGGGCAGGGCCTGAGGAGTCTGAAGGGAGTGGCCCAGGCTCTCCAGGATACTGGCCCCATTGGACACTAGCTGGGAGAGATTAGTATCTGAAGCTTCCTCACTGATGTAACTGCCACAATCACCCTTCTGCCTTTTGCTTGGAAGGCCCAGGATGCATGGGCTATAACTCCCCTGATTTGTCTGGATGCTTCTAGATCTGTGGGAGAAAAAAAAGACCCTGAAGAGGATGAGATTCCTGCTGGTGGGGAAAAGTGGAAGTGGTCAAGGCGCCACAGGAAATAGTATCCTGGGCAGAAAAGCCTTCAAATCCAAGCTCAGCACCAGACCCGTGACCATGACCTTCCAGCATGGCTGCCGAGACTGAGCTCAGAAGGAGCTTGAGGTGACTGACACCCCCGATATTCTGTCTTCTGGGGTTTCATGGGAAGGAGCAGCTCAGGGCTCCTGGGCAGCCATCGCCTGCTGCGCCCCGGGGCCCCACGCAGTGCTGCTGGTATTGCAGCTGGGCCGCTTCACAAAGGAGGACCAGGAGGTGGTCAGGCGCCTCTTCGGGGTGGGCGTCCTGGCCCACACCATCCTGGTGTTCACCCGGAAGGAGGACCTGGGGGCTGGCTCCCTGGACAAGTATCTGCAGGACACCGACAACAGGGACCTCACCAACCTGCATGTGGTTTGCTCGAGGCGCCACTGTGGCTTCAACAGGGCAGATGGTGTGGGGCAGGAGGCCCAGCTGGCAGAGCTCATGGAGACCATTGAGGTGATCCTGTGGGCTCACAGAAGAGCAGGGAGGGCGGAGGGCCCAGGGCGAGGCCGCCAGTGCAGAGTCCTGGCTGGAGGGGCTGCACCAAGTCCAGGGCACCTGAGAAAACCCACAGATGTCTCCTAAAGGGGCACTGTCTGACCAGGTGCCCGACTCCAGTGGGGACAGCCATTTCCTGGGAGCCTCCCCAGCCCTGGGTCCATCTTGTAGCCTATTGCCTCCCCTGCATCCCATGGCTCCTGGACTACGTGGGTCTCCAGGGCGCAGCCTGCTGAGTCCCAGCTCCCATCCCAGTCCTTCATCTCAATTTCAGAGCATGTGTGCACCCTCCCTGCTCCCCTACAGTCCCCTGTCTCACAGGACCACACAGCACCATGGCATCGCAGTTGTTGAAGTTCTTCTCTGCCCTTGAGTTGCACCAAAGCTCCCTGAGGCAGGGCCTCCTCACTCTTCCCTGTCACCCCCACTGTGTCCTGGTCACTGGAGTCACTCCTTACCAATGACAGCAAAGCAGTGCATGACATTGACCAGGTGACTGTGCAGTCTTGGGCTGTGTCCTCGCCCACAGAGGGGGCAGCATAAGGACTTGAAGGCACCAGATTGTGTGGTGGGTCAGGACAGACCCCTGGCTCTGCAGCAAGTGAGGAGGGGCAGCTGCTGGGTGGGGCAGGAGAAGTGAGGGGAAAGAGGGACGTGGCCTGAGGGGCAGCCCCTTCATTCACCCCTGAAGGTGGCCATTGAAGCAAATGGGCCTTGTGGGGCCTGCTGGTGGCAATGATGAGCCAAATGGGGCCAGGGTGTCCAAGGAGCAGGGCCTGGTCAGGATGGTGCCCCGAGACCTGGCTACAGGACATGAGGCTCCAGGAAGTGCCAAGGGGGCTTGGGCAGAGGATGAGCCTTCCCTGAAGCAGACTAGATTAGGGATGCTATGACTAGGGTCCCCTCTCCTCATATCTGCCTCCTGATGTTAGAAACTAAAGGTGGTTTTTCATCCTGTCTCAGCCTTACCTGTAGCCCTTCCCTTCTCACTGGACAGTGGGGAGAGAGTGGGCATGGGATTGGTATCTGGGTGTGTAGGGGGTCCCCTGTGAGGTATCTGTGGTGTCAGAAAGAGGGGCACAGGGAAGAAAGGGAAGCTGCAAAGGGAGCAGCTGAGGCTGTGAGCACAGTAGGAAGCACCCGCCTGATGGGTGGGGGGGACCCTGTGCCCCATGGGGTCTTCCTGGAGGTCTGTTCCTGGGGACAAGGCCATAGGAGGCGAGGTAGACTAGGACCAGAAGACATCAGGATGGTGGTGTGCCCCGGCCTCTGACTGGTAAGTGCCATGTGACCTCACAAAGACACTGACACTCCTCAGATGCCCCTCAGCTTCTCTGAGGCTCAGGTTGCTCCCTGGGGAGTCAGACCAAGTGATGGAAGCAGGACAGGCGGGAACGAGGAAACTGCCTTCTGAGAGACCCCCGTGCCCCTTCTTCACATCGTGTGACAGAGGGTCTCTAGCTGCCTTCTTCAGGCAGGGGTGGAAAATCAGGTGGGGTGACAGCATTTGGGAACAGTCAGCAATCAGAGAGGCAGCCGCAGGTCTGTCTGGGTGCTCACCCACTGGTCAGAGATCCTCTGCTGTTGGGGCCCCATCAGGACCCCTGGTCTCCCAGTGTGGAGGCCTCAGACTCCCACTGTCCTCAGACACAGGGGATGCCAAGAAAGCCAGTGTGTTTCATTGGCTGAAGGATTCAGGGGGGGGCATCTCAGGGCAGACAGAGACCCAGTCTGGGGTGCACCTGAGACAGATCTATTTTCTCAGTCAGCCATCTGTGGCTTGTGGGCAGAACCCAGCCATTTTCCCTGTGAGGTCTGCATGCTGCTGAAGACCCACGCCAGGACTTCAGTTCTGTTCTGTGTCCTCCTTTTCTCCTCCTTGTGCATAAAGTATTGATTTGATCACACTGGCTTTGATTTCCTTGTTATTGTATTTCCCTTGTTATTCTTCTACATGAAAATTAAAATCCCTGGTGTAACATTCAGAATGGGACCTTATTGGCCTCCTGGTGGAATGGGCTCCCACCCCTGCACTAGGGTTGGGCAAATGGTCAGTACTCAAGGTCTGGTGGTCAAGGTCATCATGTTTCTAAGGGAGCAGACTTGCTGCTTCAGAGCTACTGAGTCAAAGTTCAAATCGTTTGCATTTTTGTTAGGACAACGTGATATATTAGTTTCAGTGTTTGGTTTACCTGGTAGGTTAACTCATTCAGCCCTTGTTGGTGCAGCTCAGTGGTTGAGGGCTGGCCTGAAAATCAGAGGGTTGCCAGTTGAATTCCCAGTCAAGGCACATGCCTGGTTTGTGGGACAGGTCCCCAGTAGGGGTTGCACGAAAGGCAACCACACATGGATGTTTTCTTCTCTTTCTCCCTCCCTTCACCTCTCTAAAATAAATGAATAAAATCTTTAAACAGATAAAAATGCATCCCGTCTCAGTGGTCTAAGGCATCCAGTGCCCCAGGATGCAGCAGGACAGTGTGCGTGTCGGGGGGACCACATGGGGATAGCACCTGGGATTGCCATTCTTCTCTTGCCAGGGTTTGGATTCATTTCAGATTCCTCTTCTCCCATTGTTCACTTTTTTTTACTTCCTCCCTCTGATGCTGTCCCCTCCAGACTTCCACAAACAGTGATGCTGCTCACAGAGAAGACTTGGGGTGGATCTGGTGGTCCAGCCCTGCCCACATAAGTCTCCATCACACTCCTCCTCTTCCTCCTCTTTCCTCTATTTCCTCTGAGCAATGCTCTCCCTCTCCCTGCCCCTCCCCACCACCTGCCAACCCTTCTTAGGCATTTTTCTTTAGAGCTATAGGGGAAGTGAGATATAAGACACTCAGCTAAATAATATCATAGGTCTTAAAGAGTTCCCAAATCTATGAAGAATGTTGTGAACTTGGGGGCAGGGAATACAACATGGTGGCACAGGTATTATCAGATCTTTTCAACCTGCCCGATAAGATATTGAATTGCAATTTGGCACCATTCCCACATGGTGAGAGCCTCTGCTTCAGACTGCAGGGGCAGACCCTCACAGGGACCGATCAGCAATGGGATGATGAGGAACATCCCCCCACTTCGTCCCTGTGATGCAGAGAACACAGCAGGACCACCTGTGGTACCAGAGGATGTAGGACAGAGGATTCAACACAGTTAGATGTCCACGTGCAAATTTTCCTTCTACCTGACCTTCCTATGGAAAGGTTTCCATCTCATCCAAGACACCACAGGGCTCACACCTGTTTGAAGCTGGTGTGATGGGGACAAAGTATTCGTTTCTTTACTCCCCGCTTTGTACCAAGTGCCTGGTGTACGCTAGGCCCTCACCAAAGATTTCTTCCCCCACCCTTGGAAGAGCTGGGGAAACTTGGCTTGGGGAACATGTCCACAGCATGGACAGCCTCAAGCTTGTTGCTCTTAGAAGAACTTTCTGAGCTCCTCCCCCCTGATGCTCCCCTCTGTGCTCTCAGTCAGGTGCCACTGTTCTCTGTCCATTGTGTCTGCATCACACAGACCTGCAATTCAGTTTCCTCACTGGCCCCACAGTAACAGCAGGTATGAAGCTTTCTGTAGCCTTTGGCTTTGTCACTGAGATTTTGGAAGTCACAGGGAGGGGACTCCTAGGTAGTGCTGGGCATTACTGCATCAAGCTGATGATTTTCCTTCTAGAAGGAGAAAGGGCTTATCCTAAAACCCAGGAGGGAGACAGAAAGATAAATTATCCCTTCTCACAAAGGCAAAGCAGTTGATGTCTTTTGGGATGTGAAACCATTTCTTCTTATTATTATTTTTACTTTTACAAAAAAGAAACCAGACTGTTCTCTCTCCCCTCTTGGCCACTGGTGACCAGATCTGACCTGCACTGTATTCCCTTGGTTCATTCTCCAAGCAGACCACCAAAGTTCCCTCCAGGAATGTGACTACCAGGACATGCTGGTTGAACATGGAAGTGTGCTTTGGGGGCTCCTAGAAATCACCCGGATAGGAGTCCCCAGAAGAGAAGGGATAGATTTGCACCACTTTTATCCATATGTTAAAGGGATCTTATTTGTAACCAGGAAATCTGCAAAGATCTCAAAAACCTTGATTACAGGTAATTTCTATAGAAACCTAATAAATGAATCCAAGAAGAATGTGGTTGTTGACGGGCAGAAGGGGTAAGAATGAGGGGAGACCTCTTAGAGGGTAGACAAGTCAAGCTCTGTAGTAATTTTGTAATTTTACCAAAAAGTAAAATTCATCCCTGTGCTCTTCAAAGAAATATAAGTGGTCTTTCCCATGGTAAAAGACCACCATTTTTACACAAATGCGAAAGAATAGAGAAATTTTATTGGAGTAACAGTAAGCAAACAATTTAAGGGGGTGGGGCAGCAGTGTGTGGACCACCGTCCCAGCAGGGAGTCATCAGGGTGCAGGGAGATGGAGGTAAGGTGGCAATAGTTGGCTTCCCAAGAAAAGGAGAGAACTAGTCATTCAGCAACATGCTCGCATTGAGGCTGGTCAGAGAGTTTCTACCTGAACATCTGAATACTTCAAATGATGCTCTCTTGCCTGTTGAATCTGTGTCTTTTATCCTTTCTGGCATTTCACTTCGTTGAGCTCTAGAAGATCTGTTTTTCAGGCAGGTCTTTGTTTTTCAGTGGGCCAATGTTAAGGGACAATCTGAGTCCTTCCATAAAAATGTACTTCAACAAATTTATGTTCATCAAAGAAGAATTCTATAAGCATCTCTCTATATGGATTACTAAGTGCAAAGAGCTGACTTCACTAGCCACTTGGGTAGAGTGATCACCGGGGCTCTAAAGACAAAAATTAGGAGAAGAGCCACAGGTGGATATTATCTGCCAATTTAGAAAGAATCTGGAGGAGAAACAGTTACCAGGGACAAATAGAGCAAGCTTGGGGCCACCGACTTTTGGTCACCTGCATTCCTTTCTCTGTGTCTGAGAAAGAGATCAGGTCACAGGGTGCATCTGTATATTTTGCTTTGGAGTTTTACAGATTGGGCACGTGTCCCTCCCCTGTAAAATCCATCAATAGGCCACCAATATCCAACAGTGAACGTTCCCTCCCTCCCCGTTGCTGAGAGC